GCCGTCCGCTGTTAGCCGACACCCGGCCGCAGGCTGTTGCCACCTCCAGGGGGCGCCGCCTCCCTCGGGCTCGACCTCCTGAGCGCCGGACTCCTCCCTCCTCGGCCTGTGCTGCCCTTGCCGCTTGGGCCGCTCGCGGGCCTCGCGTTGCGCCCGCGCCGCTCCTTCCTCGCGCTCCCCCTGGGCAGCTTTCTTTGTGGTCCCCGCCCCCTGAGTGGCGGCGGCATCCCCCGGTCGCGTGGAGGCCTGACAGCGGCGCCCGGATTCCCCACTGGCCCCCGGGAACCCGCGCCAGCCCCGGCCTCCCGTGCCGCCGCGCGTCTGCTCCCCCGAGCCCCAGACCCCCCTGCGCTTTCCTTCTCTGCCGATCTGTTTCTGTGGCCACCGGGGTGTCCGTGCGAGTCCCTCCTTTCCCCTCAGGCCCGCTGCCTGCCCTCCCGTCCCCATAATCGTGCACGTGGCGTGTGGGCCGGGGACCAGTCTCCTGTGCCCTCACGTGCCACACGCGCTTCGTCCCCGCCTGTGGGCAGACCCGCCAGAGGGGCCACTCTGGCTCAAGCCGTCACCTTCCCTGCCTGGACTGTCACAGTAACGACCTGAAAACTGCTCATTAGCTTGAAATACAGACGGCACAAGGTTCAGGGAGAGCCCCGTGCAGATCGGTGGGCTGGGAGAGAGCATCACCTCCCAGACAAGCAGGAGGGCTGCGAGCCCGCCAGACCCCCGCGCGGGGCCCCCACCCCACCACGCACCTCCGTCTTCGGTGGACATCACTGCTTTGCTGTGCTTCCACCCAAGCAGGTGTTCTTAAACGTTGTGGTTTAGCGGCCTGTTTTTTAATGGACGTGATCCATCTATAAATGTAGTTACATGTTGTTTATTCTTTTTTCTTTTAAAAATTAACTTATAGTTTTTCGACAGTGTGAGAGTAGGGGAGGAGCAGAGAGAGAGAGAGAGAGAGAGAATTCCAAGCAGGCTCTGCACTATCAGTGCAGAGCCCCATGTGGGCCTGATCTCATGGCTCCTGGGATCATGACCTGAGCTGAAGCCAGCGGCTAGGCACGTAAGCGACTGAGCCGCCCCGGTGTCCCATGTTGTGTATTCGTGTTGTGTATACGTATCTGTGCGCGCGTGTGTATTTTGTTTGTGTGTGTGTTGTGCATATGTGTGTGTGTAGTGTATTATGTGTTGTGTGGAGTATAGGCCTGACTTGTTTTGCACAACTTTATGTTATGTGTAGCTGTGCGTCACTTATCTTCATTTTTGTTCTGTTGTACGAATTCACCACAGTTTCTTGATCTCTTCTGTTGGTAGATATTTGGGTGTTTTGTTTTGGCTATTATGAATAATGCTGCCGTAAATATACAGCAGATATAAAATGGGATGTTACTCAGCCCTAAAAAAGAATGAAATCTTGCCGTTTGTGACAACACGGAAGGCCCCTGGGAGCGTTACACTAAGTGGAATACGGCCGAGAAAGACCAGCACCAGATGGTCGTGCGTATACAGCGACAAGTCACAGAGGGGTCCAGGTTGGTGGTGGCCATGGGGGCTAGCGGGTGGACGGCACGGGTGAGGGGTCAGGCATAATACGTCCGGGGGATGCCCTGTACGGCTTGGCGACGATAGTCAGTAATGCTGTGTTGTGTGTTTGGAAGTTGCTAAGGGAATAGATCTTAAAAGTTCTCATCGTAAGAAGAAAGTTTGTGATTGTGTGTTGGTGGGTGTCAGCCTGCTAGACTTCCTGGGCTCGTTTCAGAGTCTGTACAGGTAGCCACTCGCTGCGTGGCACGCCTGAAACTAACGTAACGTTATGAGCCCCTTCTGTCTCGGCTGGAAACAAAGGACCCTTCCAGTGTCTCCTTCACAGGGAGGCCTTTCCTGCGTGTCGTGGGCCCCGTCTTTCTGTCGCTTCATCACCTTCCTCCCTCCGTTCTTCAGTATCTTCTCATGTATGTGTCCTCGTTTACTGTCTTCCTTCGCTGGAACGGAAGCCCGCCGAAGGCAGGGGCCTTGTCTCCCCTTCCCCGCTGCGTCTGCGCTGGCTGGGCGGGTGCCGGGCAGCCGACGGAGGGCTCAGGGTTCCCGGCTGGCCCCTCCGAGTGCAGCTGGCCAAGCGGGAGCGGAGGCCCCTGCCCCCTGGCTCCGTGGAGCCCCTTGTGTCTGCGCCAGAGGGCAGCTGGCAGTAAATCGCATCTGGGTGAGGGATTTCGTGATTAGAATTGTAACTATGCGCCTTTCCGTGCGTCAGATTGTGTAGCAGGACACACACGACCAGCTTTCCTACCAGTTAGAACAACATTTTCATGACAGCGCTGAAAACCTTAGAGTGTCCTGTGTCTCTAAGGTGTAGACTCACCGGGTCCTTCATCAGTGACCAGGGCCTGCTCTCAGTCTCTCCTGCTTAAGCTTTCCCACGGGAGTAAGTGTGCGTCCTGTCTCCTCAGGGAGGGAGGGAGCGGTCAGTGTCAGCCCCCTTTCTTCCATCCGGTGACGTTTTGTCCCCGTCTCCCGCCGGGGACTGACTCAGAGGCCGCTGGCTGCTCCCTGGGATCTGAGGCGCTTCTGATCAGGTCGGAGGCCTCCTCCCGGTGCGTGTTCTGTGTGCTCCTGCCCGCCCGGAGGGGCCACGGCTCCGGCGGCTCACACGGCCTCCTCTCCCCCTGGCGCTCCCAGGTCACACTCCTGCCCCAGGGCGTGTCTGCGGCTCTTTGGCTGGGGGGAAGCCGCCTTCTGGCCCATCTGGACACTTGGGCTTCTGGGCTGTTCCGCTGGGGGCACTACCATCTCATTGTGGCCTTGGTTTCCCTACGATTAAAGAGGTGAGCACGGTGTCGTATGTTTGATGGCCACTTAGATATCTTGTTTTGTGATGTGCCTTCAAGTCTTGCGGATGATTTCTTTTGGGTTGTTTATGTAGTGTTATTGATTTGTGAGGTGTTCCTGAGAAGTTCAGGTATTCGCTCTTGCTGGTTGTATCTGTCGCAAACATCGTCCTCTCTGGAGCCTCCCTGTTCATTCTCTTAAGAAGCTCTTCTGAGAGCAGAGGTTCTTAATTTTACCTGTCTTTTCCTTTTATGGTTAGTGCTCTTTGGCTTTTGACTTTATAGTTAGTCTAACTTGTTTATTGTTTTGTATTTCATAAAACGACTGAAATTAATTTTGGAGGAGTCAGCTTTATTGAGATAAAATTTGCACACGATAAAATGTGCTACTTAACATTTTTTTTATATTTGTTTATTTTTAAGTGGGGGGCAGAGCACAAGCAGGGGAGGGGCAGAGAGAGGGGGAGACACAGAATCTGAAGCAGGCTCCAGGCTCTGAGCTGTCAGTTCAGAGCCTGATGAACGGACGAAGCCCCCCAGGCACCCCTCAACTTAACTCCTTTTGAAGAAGTCTTGGCTATGGGGTGCCTGGGCGGCTCAGTCGGTTAAGTGTCCGACTTTGGCTAGGTCATGATCTCACGGTTCATGGGTTCGAGCCCTGCGTTGGGCTCTGTGCTCACAGCTCAGAGCCTGGAGCTGCTTCAGATTCTGTGTCTCCCTCCCTCTCTGACCCTCCCCTGCTCATGCTCTCTCTCTCTCTCTCTCTCTCTCTCTCTCTCTCTCAGAAATTTAAAAAAAAATTTTTTTAAATATATTTTTAAAAAGTAGTCTTGGCTCTCCTCAGTAGTTTGCATTTTCGTGTATCTTTCAGAATTATCTAGTTGCACTCAGGCGCGAAGTCCCGCTGGGGTGCTGGCTGAGGCAGCACAGGGTCTGTAGGTGCACTTTGAGGACGTTGAGGCGGGCAGAGTTGAAGGTCCCTCCGTGAACTTGCTCGGGTCTCTGCTCCTGAAGGCCCTCAGTGCCGTGGCGGCTCAGGCGTGCTACAGGTCTGCACAGCATTCAAAACCCACTTGTACGTGTGTCCTTCCATAGTCGATGCCTTTGGAAGGGTGTTCTAGCTTTTGCTCGTCCACAGAAGCACATTCAGTTATATGTCCAGCCCCCGGAGTGAGCAGCGCGGGCAAACTCCCTTCTTCCGGCGGGTCTTCTCATGCTTTCGGACTTCGTGCGTCCCTGCCGGGGCGTCTGTGAGTAATGACGGCTTTGCTTCCTCTTTTCGGAACTGACGGCTTATAGTTTTGGGCAAGGGTTTGTCAATTTTATGTCCCTTCAAAGAACCAGGTTTTGGTTTTATCTCCTGTTCGAATGCTTCTAACTAGATCAGTGATGTCTTCAGCACCTGGGCCCAACAGGAAGTGCGTCCCTGCCCGATCCCTACTCTCCATGGCCCCTCCTTCACCTTGACCGTTCTCAGCCTCTGCTCTTAACACGTCCGCATTTGTGTGCGGGTTTGGGTTCTTGGAACCTTCCATGCAGAAGACGAGGAGGCCAGGACTTGGAAGGGCTTTTCTTAGCTGCGGGCGGGGCCTCGGTCTCTCGGGGGCGGGGCGGCCTTGGACTCTGTGCTGCCCGCTCCTTTCTTACCGTTTCTTACAGTTTTTCCTACCTTTGTCCTCGTGCTCGGGCCGACACCTGAGCGCCACGTCGGGGGCTCCCAGATCAGTGGAGGGACCCTGGGGACCGACGGCCATCCTGCGTGCGCTCCAGGCCCTGGTTCACGAGAGCCGCTTCAGGGTCTGTTTCTCACGTTCCGAACGGCCTTGCGCTGCTTCTCGGGGCGCCGGGAAGTACCGTTCGGTCCCAGAACCGCTACCTGTGCTCGATGTATGAACTTGAATCATACATCAAACATAGTGGGAGTGTTTTTGAAAGATAATTAACCCTTTTAGTTTCTTCATGTGTAAAATGAAAAGATTTATAGCTCTGAAATTCTACTTTTTGCGGCTATGAAGAGCCGTTTACATGGTCTTTGTCGGAAATGTAACTGCAGTGGGCGTTCACTTTGGGCAGCCAGACTTTCATCTCTTCGTGCATATACTCTACCATGGCTGTCATGTTGAAATGCCAGCCTGATACTCTACTTCATGATGCTTTTGCTTTTTCATTTTATAGAACTAACGCTGAATCCTCCGGAAGGAATTGTGGCAGGTAAGGCACTAAAGTTAACCTCTTTATAAGTTACTTCTAATGGTCAAAGTTGCCTTCAGAGTTAATTGTGGAAAAAAAATTTTTTTTTTTTTTTTGCAGGTCCTATGAATGAAGAGAATTTTTTTGAGTGGGAGGCGCTGATCATGTAAGTTATTTATATGTGTTACTAGTTTTCGAGACTTTACTGGACATTCAACCCCGGAATCCATTTAGCAGTGGGGCTGTGCTCAGAAGTGTTCCTTCGGAGAAAAGGCTTCATGCGGCTCTTAAGTTGAGCTCTTTTTTAGTCTGCTAGTCTGAGTAGAAAACAGCATAGATGTGTTTCCCGAGAAATGAAGATATTTCCTTAGAGCCAAAAAAAAGTTTTGTCTTACTTCATATTTGTAGAGTTTTAAAACAGTAAGTTCTGAATGGTGTGTGGTGGTGGTGGGTTAGCCTCAAACAGTATCAGTTGCTCTGACTTCAGGAAGTCCCTAAAAACCCGCAACGTGTTTTTTTTTTAAATGTTTATTCATTTTTTGAGAGAGAAGGAGAGAGAGAAAGAGGGAGGGACAGAGAGAGAGGGAGACACAGATTCCAAAGCAGGCTCCAGGCGCTGAGCTGTCAGCACAGAGCCCAACGCGGGGCTCGAACTCACGAGCCGTGAGATCATGATCTGAGCCAAAGTCGGACGCTTAATTGACTGAGCCACCCTGGCACCCCAAAGCCTGCAGCTTTGAAGGGGGAAAGGCCCCTTGGGTGCAGGTGAGCCTCTGGCCCTGCCCCCCTGTGCACCTACACTTCCCTCTCCCTCCCGCTCTCCTCTGCATTCAGCCACTCCTCTGCTGCTTTCTTCCTGTGCCTTGACGGCCTTCCATTGTCCCTGACCCCGGCACGTGGCTTTGTTCTAAGGTGAGCAGTGTGCCTCCTGAGCCTGTTGTAGAAAAATCCTGAGTGGATTTCCTGATATTCACCTAGTGATGTTGCTTAGAAAGCACCACAAATGGACCCCTGATTCTGGAGTGTTCTAGGGCCTATGACCCAGACCTTTGGTTTGCCTTCTGTATATTTTAGATGCACAGTTTTTGACCATTCTTAGATTACCTGTATTTTCAGATAAATGTGGTTAAGTAAAATTTAGGAAGTTAGGATTTCTACTCAGTCTCTCAGTTTTCCTTTCCGTACGATGAGAGCCTTCAGTTAGCCAGTCGGCACATGCTGAGACTGCGCTCTGCGGGGCTCTCGGCGCAGGGATGGGGGCAGGTATGCTCATCACGCCGTCTGTGTGCGCCCGGTGCTTTTGCTTCTTGGCTTGAGAGACACGTTGCTGGTAAATGTGTGTGGGGGTTAGAACATGAGGATTTTCTGATAAGCAGGATATTTGAAAAATCCTCAGTAAACATCGTCCAGAGAAAACACAGCCTTAGCAATACCCTGCTTGCTTGGGCCTGTGGGACCCGTTGTTTTCTGTGTTTAAATGTCTCTGGCGTGAGGACATCTTTAGAGTGTGTGTGTGTGTGTGTGTGTGTGTATAAAAGGGTGTCGCGCCTTTTGTCCCCCGAAGCGATGTGTGTGTGTGTGTGTGTGTGTGTGTGTATAAAAGGGTGTCGCGCCTTTTGTCCCCCGAAGCGATTATAAACGGGACTGGGAGTCCCCTGGCCGGCGGTGTCCTGCGTCTAGTGGGACATGGCATTATCTGCTGTGTTGGCTGTAGGTCCTTGTGTTTCTAAGGAGACGGGGGATGATACCATGTGAAGGTGATTTGTAAACCCCTTTCCCACGTCCTGTGTTGCATGCGCTGTCTCTGTGCTAAGGCGGAGAGACGCGGTGCCAGGACACCAGGCCCTGTTGCAGGGCGCACGGTTCCCGTCTCCGGGCCCCCGACAGGCCTTCTGCCTTACGAGACACCGGCCTCTGCGCACTAGCAGAGAAGCCCTTTCAGGGACGTGTGAAGCCCTCCGTACGGTTCCTAAAAAGGTGTTCGTTAAAACCTGTTAGGAAAACTGTTACTAATTTTATATCCGCGCTGTAAAATTAAACCAGTATTTTGAAAACCCACGTTAGCAATTGGATGTAAAGGTGGCAAAAGCAGAAATAAGCAAGAGGGACTGTGTGAAACCAGAGCCTCCGGCCGGCAGGGGAGGTCCCAGAAGGAGGAGGCAGCCCCCCGGGGGAGAAGAGAGCTGCATGCACCTATCTGATTAGGGGCTGACCTGCAAAATGTAGAAAGACCTGGTACAACTCAAAAGCAAAAAGAGAAGCAATCTGATTAAAATGTGGGCAGAGGATCTGGACAGACATTTTTCCGAAGAAGACGTCATGTCCAGGTGGCCGGTGGGTCCGTGGAGAGATGCTCCGCGTCACTCGTCACCGGGGAGATGCACATCGAAGCCACACGAGAGAGACCGCCTCACGCCTGTCAGTGGCTGTTACCAAAAAGACAAGAAGCCAGAAGCGTCAGTGGGCACGTGGAGGCGGGAGCCCTTGGGCGCTGCTGATGGGAACGCAGACTGCTGCGGCAGCTCGGGAGGGCCGCATGGAAGTTTCTCATGAGGTTACAGATGGAGCCATTCTGCTTGGGGGATAAATCCGAAGGGAAGGGAAGCAGCAGCTCAGGAAGGTATCTGCAGCCCACGTTTTCCGCGGTGGTATCTGCACCGCCCAGGCAGGGCCGCAGCCTGGGGTGCTGTCCGGCGGTGGACAGATGGGTGACAGAGATGGGGTGGCTGGGATGGGCAGAGGATGACGAGAGGGACAGAGTTCCAGTTACAGAGACGTCCTGGGAGCGCAGGGCACGGTGGCTGCCGTCGCCCACGTTGCAGCACGCATTTGAGGGCCTTCGAGACAGTAACTGTCACCTGCCGTCCTCACAAGAAGAACCCCTGAGGCTGTGGGCAGGGACGCACGGTCCCCGGGCTCACTGGGGTGGCCGTGGTGCCGCGCTGCCCGCACCGAATCCGTGTGCCGCGAACCCCGTCTCGTGTGCCTCGGTGTAAAAGGAGGGACGGAGGCTTTTCAGCCGGGGCGCTTCTCGGTTTGAGTCAGGCTTTCGCATCAGTGCGGAATTCCCCTGCTGCAGGATCCGCTGAGCCCCTGGGTCTTGGCCCTGTTCCAGACCCTTTTACAAACAAGAGGCCGTTTACAAATGTTCTTAAAACGTCTGTTAGGGAATTAACTGTCCTCCCGCTGATGGGTCCCCCTGCGGTTTTGGCAGACAGCTGGCCGGCGCTCGCTCCCTGGTGATAGCTTTTCCTCTCTTTCTTCTTGTTCTGTGATTGTCTCCAGAGTTTCTTTGTGCCCGGTGCTGCCAAACCCGTACTTACCCCGTTTTCTGGGGGGCAGAGCGCCGCCAGGTTTGCTGCTCTGCCCCCTGCCGGGCCTCCGTCTCTTCTCGGCTGCGCAGTGAGGAAAAGTGCTTTTCGGGCTCGGGCCACAGGCGCGGGGTGCCTGTTGTGTCAGGGTTCTTGTCTGAGGCCACGGGTGCATCGGAGGGGGCCCCGGATCTCCCCGCTGGAAGGACGAGAGCGAGGGCGCAGGGTGGGAGCGCAGCAGGCCCGCGAGCAGGAGAGCTAAACGGGACAGTCGGCCCAGCCTCGTCTCCGATTGAAAGTCGAAGGTAGCTGCCGGCTGAGCCTGTGGTGCGGTTTGAGCCAACAGCCAGGAAGGGGGCTGGGGCCGCCATCAGACCGAGAGACGTGGGGCACTGGCGCGGTGTGGCCGTCCTGGCTCCGTGGCCCTGGGCCAGCCACTCTACACGTGTCTGGATCCACACAAGAAGCTCCGGTGCCTTTCAGGCGAGTGAGTCACGCTGTGCCTCTGCCGCCCGGAGTCTCTGGCCTGTGCGGCCTGTCGCTTGGGCTGTGCGCGGAGTGCGCGCGTGAGGTCTGTCCCGCGGTGGGGCCTACGGTAAGGACAGGAAGAGCCCCGGGCTGCAGGCCGCCCCGGGGTCCCCAGCGGCTAGAAGGGGTGTGAAGCCCTTGAATCTGCCCCGGTTCTTGAAGCAGCTGCCATTAATCGGCGGTCGCCCTGCCCTGACCACGGCCTCGCTGCCGCCCCCCTGCCAGACCGAGGCCCTGGTGAAATGACAATGACTGTCCCTTCCTAAGTGGTTGGGGGCCCTCTGCTGGCTCTCCCCACATGTCACCTCTGAGGGTGTCAGGAGGCCCGGGGTGTGCTCCTCTCGTGTCTGTGATTCCCTGGGCTGGGTGCAGACACCATGGTCACGGCCGCCCTTTATACCAGGCTTGCTCGTTTGTGGAAGGCCACGCTAGACTGTCTGTCGGTGTCGGGCCTGCAGAAGACGCACTGAAACAGCTGCTTGTGGTTCGTGTTGTGAGCGGCGTCACCTGGCAGCCCAGCCCCAGGGTCTCTTCCGCAGCCGGTGCTCTAAAGATCAGTGCGTGAGGTGCATTTCAGCCTTCAGTGCTGTCGTTAGGAAACGGAAACCGCGTCGTCCAGCATAAAGTATGAAACATCCGTACCGCCTACAGCGGGGTCCACGTGACGCCAAGAGCGTTCTGGCAGAGTCCACGTGCCGGCCTAGAAAGGCCCCGTAGTGTGTCTTGGGCGGGAAGAGCAAGGGGGGAGCAGTGGGCCTGGACCAGTGCTGTCTGCGGGGATGGTTTTGTCCCCTCCCTCCCCCCACCGGACATTGGTGGCGTGCAGAGACAGTGGCGTTGGCACAGCTGGGGGAGCAGGGGGCTCACCGCCAGCGTCTGGTGGGAGCTGCACCTCGCTGCGCGGCCAGTGCTGGGGCTGAGAAGCCAGGTTCACCTGTGTTAGGTTTAAAAGTCCAAGATTTTAGTAGTTTTACGGTGAGGAGATCATCCCCACAGTAGTGTGACAACATATCCAAAAAGGTCTTCATGCCCTCAGCCAGTCCCACTTCCCACCCGCAGCCTCTCTTCTTAGCCCAGAGAGTGGCCGTCCCTGGGCCATTCCCGCAGGTGGAATCCTAGAGGAGCCCATCTCGGCTGTCCACGTCCTCGCATCCCCCTGCACCTTCGCCACCCCATCCCCTTCTGTGGGCGTCCCTCCTTCGTCTTTGCCGCTGACCTGAGCCCCTGGGGGGATGGGCTGGGCCGCACCTGCTTCCCCACCCACCAGGTGAGGGCGGCCTGTGACCCGTGCTCCTGGGTCCCTCGAGGTCCCTGCGTGGACCCTGTTGCTGCACGTGTGCGCTCGCTGAGTCCATGGCAGTGGAGCTGCTCTAACTCAGAGGAGGCTCATGTTTAATGGCTTAGGAAACGGCCAGACGGCCCTCCAGAGCAGGTCAGTGTCTTACATTCCCACGAGCACGGATGGGGGCTCCCTCCCCACGCCTGCCCTGTGACCGCATCTGCCCTGTGGGTGTGAGGCCGCATCTCACCCTGACCCTGGACTTGATTCGCATTTTTAAGAACTGACCATGTTGAGGATCTCTTCACAGGCTTATTAGCCATTCATGTATCTTTGGTGAACTTTAGAACTTTTGCCCGTTTTTAATTGGATTGTCTTCTTATTCTTAATCATTTAAAAGTATTTATTTTTGAGAGAGAACGAACAGGGGCAGAGAGAGGGAGACCGAGAATCTGAAGTGGGCTCTGAGCTGTCAGTGCAGAGCCCAGTGTGGGGCTTGAACCCACAAACCAGGAGATCACATGGACTGTTGTCTTTGTGAGTCCTAGGAGTTCGTTATATATTTTGGTTGATAGTCATTCATCAGACTCGTGATTTTCAGGTGTTTTCTTCCAGTCTGCAGCTTTCCTGTTCGTCATCTTAATGGAGTCTCAAGAGACTCCAAGGTCTGATTTTGATGCACCTTTAGCTTTTTCTCTTTTGGATCATGTGTTTGGTGTTGCGTAACACAGAGGTTTTCTGTTATGTATTTGTAGCTTTTCTCTTGACCTTTTACATTTTGATCCACCCTGGGTTAATCTTGGATGTGGCATCAGGTTGGAGTCCAGCGTCATTCATTTGCGTTTGCCTGTTGGCGGCCTTGATGCCATTTGTTGGACAGAAAATCCCTCCTGCACTGAATTGCCATGGAATCTGTGTCAGAAACCCCCCGACTGTGAACGTAGGGTTTACGTTTGGGCTCTGAATTCTGTCCCGTCCCGCTGCCGCGCCGCCTCTGTTCCTGAGGCTTTACGGTGAGCTTCGGAACGGAACGTGTGAGTTCTCCTCTCTCAACGTTGTTTGGCCTGTTTCCCGGGTCCCCGCGGTCCTGTCGTATGTGAAGATCTGCGTCGGGGAAGCCAGCTGCAGGTTTGACGGGGGTCGTGTGCGCGAGGGCAGCTGGTCGCCGTCCCAGCGCTCCTGGGCGCTCTGACCCGGGCACGTGGCGGGGCTCTCCGCTTAGTGTGGTCTCTCAGAGCCCCATCCGCAGTGCCGATGCATTTCTAGTTAGGAAAATGCAGGCTTGTGGATGAACGTGTGTGGGTGTGTGACACGGACACAGGCCTGGGGAACCCGCCTCCCTGTGTCTGCCTTGGGGAGGCGGTTCTGGGCCGGTGCAGTTTTATACGCCTCGTGGAGCCGACTGTTCCCAAATGGCTTTCTCTAGTCAGAGTCCGTTTGTGTCGTAACAGTTGTGTGTCAGAATTCTTGTAACAACGACTGACTTAGTGCACTTTCAATATAGTTCAAATATATTTGAAGTTTCCAGAGATGTCTGTGCGGCAGAACACAGCAAACCCAGGGGTGTGACTGCAGCCTCCTCCTGGGCAGATTGAACCCGAGGAGACTACCCGGGGGAAACCGAGTGTGCTCCCGCCACGGTTTCCCGAGGCCGCGGCCGCCTGTCCCGTGCCGTCCTTCCCGCACTTCGCATCGTCGGTTTTATACGTGGGAATTAGCGGGGTGCACGGAGCACGGGAGAGGGAAACACAGCAAAAGCAGTGTCTGGGTCGCCCCCAGAGACCCCGCACTCACCCGCTCCTTTCCCCGGGGGGTCCCGCAGCCCGAGCTTCCCGGGCACCTGCGTCTGTCCTGCCAGGCGTCCTGTGGCCGGGGCCCTCCCTGCCCACTTCCCTGCAGCCCACGCCCCTCCTGCACTCGCCTGGCTCGAAGCCCAGCGGCCGCAAGTACAGGCCGGGAGCTTGGCCTTCAGGAGCGCCCTGCAAGGGTGTGCGGCTGACCTCCTGCACGAGTGAGCCGGAGGGCTGGGGGGTGGCGCTGGCGGGAAGCCGCGCGGCGGCAAGTGCAGGAGGGGCGTGGCCCGCCGGGCGCTCTGTGAGTTGGGCAGCCTGAGGGCCATGGGGACCCGTCCCCTGCAGGGGGAGGGCGTCTCTGAAGCCGCACACCTCGCCCTGTTAGGCTTCAGGTGCTCATGACTTTGGGGAGTGACCGTCCCTTAGTAACCCTGTTCAGGCCGAAGCACCGGGAATGGTTTACAGTCTCCGTTACTTACAGCCTGTGTGTGTGTCACGTGTGCTGTCCTTGTGCTGCGCCGACGGCTTGAGGAGGAGCCCAGCTGCTTCTCCTGGGGTGGCCGCCAGGCGCCGTCCTGCATCATGCCCTGCGGGCACACAGCTTGCCCCCACGGGGTGCCTGGGCTGCACCGGGGGAGCACAGGGGGCAGGGGAGGACGGGCAGGGGAGCACGGAGAGCAGCGGGAGCTCGGGAGGCCCGCAGGCTGCACTTGTCATCCCGACACAGCAGGCGTCACTGGAGTTCAGTGTCCACCCACCAGACAGGCGTCTCTGCGGCTCTCACGGACTCTGCAGGGACGCTCTTGCTCATCGGTGCCCCCGAGCCAGCGGACCAGAGCGAACCCCTGGACTGTGGCTTCCTTCAGGGCGCGGAGCGTGGGCGTTGCGCTCCCCCAGAGCCCAGAAGCAACGCAGCTGGTGTCCTAAGGAGTAGACGGTCGGCGGTTCGCAGGCTTCGAAGACTTTACGTTTGCCGTAGACAAATTTGTTTCCTTTCGTCTCGTACTTTTCTTTTTCGCATGCGAGGACTCTTGAAACGAGGCCTTTAGTGAGGGGGGCCTGTCGGGAGTGAGGCACCGACGTTGTGCACAGAGTGCCCGACCGTGGGCCTCGGCACTGGCTTCGGAGCCGACGCGGTAGCGTCTCCCAGAGTCCGCAGGCGCGCCGCCGCGCAGGGGCCCCGCGTGCGAGGTCCGGGCCCGGCCCTCCTTCCCGGGGCGCAGTCCTGGCGTTCCCTGGGGGGTGCCGCCCCCTGTTCAGTTCCGTTTTGAAATTTTGCCTTTTTCCTTTAATTGTGGAGATAAATATTATTTGTAATATTTGCAAGTTTTTACTTTTACTGAAATCGAAATATTAACTTAAAATAAGTTTGTGCTTTGAAGAAACGGTTTCTAAAAGATGGAGGTGGCCTTGGAGGAAGGGTGTTTCTGTGTTGTTCCCTCACCAGGTCTTGATGCATTGTGAAGGGCAGCGTCTGTGGCGTGGGAGCCGCCCCCATGGTGACCCAGGGCCCACGCTCGGCCACGCGCTGGCATCCTGGAGCCAACACGGCTCGTGGCCCAGACAGACGGGCGCTTAGACGGGCGAGCGGCTCACACACGGTGTGTGTCTTGTTTGGGGTCTTGTTCTCGGACGCAGGAGGCCAGATGCCCTGACACGGCCCGTGAGGGAGGGGGGTCGGGAGGAGTCTGTTGAGCGGGCGGTGCTCCCTCTCCGCTGCCTTCTAGACTCGCACACAGGTCAGGATTTTACACGTGTAGTTTTAAAATCTGACAGGACTTAGATGTGGTTTATTCCATGTCTGCCGTTTTCCGTGTGCTGAGGCCGTAGAGCCAGGCAGTCGGTGTGCAGGTGGCCATGGGGCGCCCGGGAGGGCCCGCAGGCCGGGGCTGGCTGTGTGCTCTCATCCGTTCCTTGAGGGCTACACAGGTCACTCCTTAGGCACATTTTAGGAGTAAAAATAGGGGCGCCTGGGTGGCTGAGCCGGGTAAGTGTCCAACTCTTGATTTCGGTTCAGGTCATGATCTCACAGTTTGTGAGTTCAAGCCCCACGTCGGGCCCTGTGCTGACAGCATGGAGCCTGCTTGGGATTTTCTCTCTCTGCCCCTCCCCTGCTCACGTGCTCTGTTTCTGTCTCTCTCAAAGTAAATAAATAAACTTTAAAAAAAGTAAGAAAAGTAAAAATAGCCTTTGAAATGAAAACTCTCAACCCCTATCTATCATTTATAATCTTGCCTTAACGCACATAATTCATACGCCTTCATACTTGAAGGCAAAGTGATGGCGCACAGGACATCTACAGGGTCCTTGGGTCTCGCAGCTTTGGCCTGAGTCCCCTCCTCCGGGCCTGAGTTCTAGAGAAGCCCTGCTGCCTGCCCCCGCCCGCGTGAGTGCAGAGCCTGCGCCTGCAGTGCGTCGTGCCTGGGGCTCCACCCGGGTTGGGCGGGACAGCGAGTATCCCTTTCGATCCAGAAAAACATACCAGCTCATCACTGCCATTTGTTTGTTTGTTTACTTATTCATTTATTTATTCGTTCATTCACTTATTTATTTTTAAAGTATAGAAAAGAATTTAATTAAATGTAGCCTGCTGGCACGGGGGCTAACCTGCAGCGTGTGCGGAGCTCTTGGTTTCAGGGGTAGAGAGTCCCGTGGTTCATCAGTCACGTGCTCCCCACCGTCATTTCCTCTTTCCACGCGTGTTTGTGAAGCAGTGAGGCTTTCCTCGGCTCGCCACCACGGGGAGACACCAAGAAGCCTACTCGGACTTGTGTTTTCTGTCTCCTAGGGGCCCAGAAGACACCTGTTTTGAGTTTGGTGTGTTTCCGGCCATCCTGAGTTTCCCCCTGGATTACCCGTTAAGTCCCCCGAAGATGAGATTTACCTGCGAGATGTTCCATCCCAATAGTAAGTGCCCTGGGGAGTGGTTTCCGTGGCACCGGGCGGGGCATGGGTTTGTGTGCATGTGATGGGGGCCCTCAGCGACGGGCAGCACGGAGGACGCAGTGTGTTCTGGACTTGAGCCGCTAGTCGTGGTGGCATTGACACCAACTGAAAACGGTGTGACGTGGATGAAACAAAGTGTGGACCCAACACTGGTGCCGTCGGGCCTGCCCGCTCCCCTCCCGGTGGGTCAACGAGAGCTCGTGTGCGCGGTGTGTGCAGGGCTCTGCCAGCCCCGGCGGGGGGGCGGCGGCGGCGAAGAGGCTGGGCTTCGGCAGCACACGGCCGGCTGTCAGTAGGTTAGCATTAGGGTAAGGTTCCAACGCTCCGGATAATATGTAATGATGTGGAACCAGGTCCCGAATCAGGCTTATCATTTACTTGTTTGCAAAAATGCACGTGTAAACGTGTATAACTGGAAGTGTGACACAAAAATGTTGAAAATGATTCTCTTTCCATAAGGCGATTTCTTTATTATTTTTCATTAATCTTTTTTTCTAAAATAAACATTTATTTTATTTTATTTTTTAATATTTTTATTTATTTCTAGGAGAGAGAGAGAGAGAGAGAGACAGCACGAGCAGGGGAGGGTCAGAGAGAGAGGGAGACACAGACTCTGAAGCAGGCTCCAGGCTCCGAGCTGGCAGTCAGCACAGAGCCCGACGCGGGGCCTGAACCCACGAACCGCGAGATCATGACCCAAGCGAAAGTCGGATGCTTAACCGACTAAGCCACCCAGGCGCCCCTGTAAACATGTATTTTATTTATTTATTTATTTATTTTAAATTTTTTTTTTTTAAATTTTTTTTTTTTAATGTTTTTATTTATTTCTAGGAGAGAGAGAGAGAGAGAGAGACAGCACGAGCAGGGGAGGGTCAGAGAGAGAGGGAGTCACAGACTGAAACAGGCTCCAGGCTCTGAGCTGGCAGTCAGCACAGAGCCCGACGCGGGGCTCGAACCCACGAACCGCGAGATCATGACCTAAGCGAAAGTCGGACGCTTCACCGACTAAGCCACCCAGGCGCCCCATGTAAACATGTATTTTAAAAAGAGGAGAAAATATGGTCATTAAATAAATTTACTGGACTTAAGTTGGAAAAATGTCTAGTAGCAGGAATTGGAATTCCCGAATAGCTATAGTTTTTATTTCTTCCTAGAAAACTAGTAAGAAAATATGTTGTATTTTAAGTGATCATATTTAGGAGAATATTCCTTTTTATAAATGGTTAATTTTACTAAAAATCATATCTTAACAGTTAAGAAAAACAAGATATGCTGTTTTGTAGAAATGAAATATTTTCTTATTTGAAACGGATTCCTTTTCCTCTGCTTTTCTGCACATAAATTAGCTAATGGCTAATTTAATTCTCAAGAGCATTTCTAGAAGTTTCTGAGCCCTTGACACCTCTCGGCTTACAAATGAGTCCACGTGGCACATTCTCCCCTAGCCTGTACCTGCTTGAGCACCTCCTCTTGGGAGGGCTCCGCCCAGACCCAACCCTCTCCCCCCCCCAACCCCCCCCCCGCCCCATGAAGGTCAGGATTGCCTCGCTAGCCTGTGGTACTTGCTGTCCACACGCCCCTTTGAAGCTGGTCACGTACCGCTGATGTCATGTGTGGGTAATGGGCTCCCTCCTCAGCCCGTTTTGAGTTGCTCTCTCACGTCAGTGCAGTTCTGTGTGAGCGTTGGCTGCTCAGAAGTCCCTCCCTGGGGAAGGTGGCCCCGAGGCGGCAGGGCTGGGAAGCCAGGCGATGTGTGCACACAGGCGGCCGTCTCCCCGCTGCTGACCTGGGTGTGTGTTCAGGGTTCTCTGTGACGCAGAATTAAATACGTTAACGGGAGACAGAGGTGACTGAAGAAGTCAGCAGTTTCAAATCCATTAGCCATAAAGTGCAGCTATCAAGAGGACTGTGGGCAGTTAAACAGAGGTAAGGTTGCACTGAAGACAAGCACGCTCGTTAGACCTGTGTTGGTGACGACGCAGCAGGTGTGGCCGTAAACTGACGATTTGAGACTTGACATTGTGCTAAGAGGAGTTTGTAACGTTGAGGTAATTAAGTAGTTTTAGTACTTGGTCTTACTCTAAGTGGATTGGTGTTATTTCTGTTTTTTAAAAATCATTTTTGAGAACTATTTAGGTTTACCAATAACATAAATATTGATCAGGCCCGAAATACTTTAAAAGAATAATTGAGCACGTTCACGGAGACTTGCTGGGATACAGGGGTGAACGGATAATAGAAGGTGGGGCCCTTGACCATCCAGAGCTCCTGATCTGAGGGCCGCGGTGAGTGTGGTTGGATAAATCCTACAGATAAGTGTAAATTCCCACCAGGAGGCGGGGAGGGCGCCCCGTGCAGGTGGTGGGCAGGCTCATGTCTGCAGGAAGAACCGTAGCAACTACCCAGTGAGTTGTGAGAGGCCGAGGGTGTCTAACACGTGCAAAGGCCCTGTGTAAGGAGTGAAGGCACCAAACCAGCCCAGGCCGTCTGGTCTGGAAGGAGGATTCTGATTTGTGCCGGGAGCAGTGGAGAGCCACTGAGGGAACCAGAGTGAGGGAGGGAGTAGCATGGCCAGTGGTCTTTGAAGGGTCACCGGCTATGGTGTAGAGGACAGACCGCAGGGCTGGGACACGGCCGCGGTGGCCTGGGGAAGGAGGCTAGCGATGCACAGACAGGCGCAGGCGCCGATGAGGGAGGGATTGAGGGGAGGCACCTGTGAGAGAGGGGGCCGCAGGGACACCGCTGCCTCCGTGTTTCTGGGTCACCGTGTGGCGCTGTCACCTGGAGGAGGCCCGCTGAGATTGGAAACTTCACGGCAGGCACACGGGCTCCGCTGCTGGGCCCCTGACGCCCACGACAGCTGCACACACTCTCCAGAGCAGCACAGACCGCGGGCAGCAGGGGGCAGAGCCCTGGGAGGGGGCTGGGCGGACGAGTGAGGAACGAGGTACCACGGAAGGCCCTTGAGAGCCATTCAGATTTCTCAGTGGTCCTGCGCCCTGAGCTCACGCATGGGGGGAGTTACTTACGTTTATTCCCGGCTGTCTGCTGTTTTATTTTTGTAACTGAAAGGCCTCACGGTTTGACAGTCGAGTGTGTCCGACTGGACCCCTCCTGTGTGCGTATACACCACGCTGTCAGGACCCGCGGTGTGGACCGGAGGAGGGACGATGCGTGTGGCACCCTCCGTGGGATGGGAGGCACACAGAGCCATAGACGTAGGTCCCTTCCCCCGCCGAGGGCGTCTGGCTCAGGGGCTGCGCGCGGGGTGGGTTCGGTCGGACACCGCTGACCTGCAGAGGCACGGACGGCCGTCTGTCTGCTGGAGCGAGTTCCCCGGAGAAGTCGGGGCACCTTCCTCCTTGAGCAGCGCGGCCTTCACGCTGGCCCTGTGGACATGGGTCTCCTCGGCCTGGCTCAGAGGTTTCATGGTGGAGCCAGGAAGATCTCAGGAACCGGCTCGGAAAGTACGGGAGTTCTTTCGGTGAAATGTTTCGCTGCCAGATAATCTTTCACTTGGTCCTCTGGGAGCGAGCGGGGCCTCGTGGCTGTGAGTGTGACGCTGGGGGCCGGGGGCCCTGCTCCGGCCGCGGCCACGGCTCGCCGTCCGCGTCTGCACCGCTCACCCCCTTCGGGTGCGGGACTCAGCGGCTGTGTTCTGGCCCCGCAGTCTACCCCGACGGCCGAGTCTGCATCTCCATCCTGCACGCCCCGGGCGACGACCCCATGGGCTACGAGAGCAGCGCCGAGCGGTGGAGCCCCGTACAGAGCGTGGAGAAGATCCTCCTGTCGGTGGTGAGCATGCTGGCAGGTGAGGCCCGGCCGCCCGGCTCCTCCCCGCGGGTCCTCCCTCCGGGCTTCGCCTCTGCGCGCCGCTTGTGCACGAGTGTGGGTCTCCGCCTTCTCCCCGAGGTACCCCTGCCTGCGCTCCTGCGTGCCAGCGCGCCTCCCAGGCCTCCCCTGGCCCATTCGGTGGCGCTGAGCCTGAGACCATGCACCCGTGGGTGTTCACAGTCTGCAGGCCCACAGGACGGTCCACCCCCCGAGGGCCCGTATCGCCGTGTCCTCTGCACGCCCAGTGCCCTGCCCGGGGCCTCACACACAGGACGCTGTGGGGAAGGGCCGGTTGAGTAAATGGGAGGGGAGAGGCACTGTGGTTGGGGGATGGAGGCGTGGTGCCCGCAGGGGGAGGCCGGGCTCTCGGCTGCCTTCTCTGCTCGGACCAGCGCTCCCCAGCTTTCTGGCCCCTGCGCATAGGCCCGGCCTCTCTGTGTGCGTCCGCATTTGTCTGGAGCACCTGCTGGGCTCAGGTGTCGCCCTGGGCCGGACGTCAGCCTGGCGCGGGCCTCCGGCGGGAGAGACCAGGCAGCCGCAGGGAGGAGGCTACACGGAGCGCCGACCACAAGGCGGGAGGGGCGGGCGTCGGGCGTCGGGAGCTCAGTGCCCAGTGGGGGCCCAGTGTTCCCGTGCAGGGCGCAGAACGCGGGCTGGCTCTCTGAGACACTGGGGAGGGGAGGGGACGTGCCGCCCGCGGTGTCCCTGACTCCATGCCGCCTCCAGCCTCCCTGTCTCAGGTGAGGAGGCTCCCGTGCGCCTCTGAGAGCTGACACCCTCCCCTGGCATTTCGCAGACACCAGCGTCTGCCCTTGGTTTCCAGGACGCAGCTCCGGAGAGATGCACGGGTGCCCTTGGGGGAAGAGGAAGACCTCGCCTGCGCGCGCCTCCCTTGCCCTTTCCCACGAGGCGCCCGCCCTTCTCTTTCAGAGCCCAATGACGAGAGTGGCGCCAACGTGGACGCTTCCAAGATGTGGCGGGACGACCGGGAGCAGTTCTGCAGGGTCGCCCGGCAGCTGGCGCAGAAGTCGCTGGGGCTGTGAGCCCGGCGCACACGGACGCGCAGTGACTGGGACACTCTGCCGGCACCGAACCAGTGAGCTTGCAGAAGCGCGGTGTCCGGCCCCCCGCCTCCCCCGCCCCAAACAGGCTTCTCCTCTGAAACGGCGATTCACACAGGATGCTGACGCTGGGCGCACTTTGACCCTGTCCGGGCAGGCGGAGCTGCGGCCCCCTGCCCTCCCCTTCCCAGCTGCCCCCCCCCCCAGGTAGTGGCTTCCCTCCCCTCGCCGTGGGCGGGCGGGGGGCCGGGCCTCGAGGCGCAGGAGGGGCCAGCGGCGGGTGGGCGGGGCAGCTCTGGTGCGTGGTCCCTGCGCCCGGAGGGGACGGTCCCTGCGCCCGCTGCGCTTCCTAGTGCTTCCAGGTGTCGTCCTTGTCATCTGGTCACAGCTTTCTGTTTGTTGCGCGTTACAAACCTATCACGCTTAGAAATGCTTTCAGGAAATAAACACTTTTTAAAACGTGGATTACTGAACGGTGGGGTGTGTACAAGCGGGGTTTACCGCTGGTCGTAGGAGTGGCTGCCTCTTCCCGGTCCTGCTGAGCGGAGACTGGCCCTGACGTCCTGGTTACGGTGCCTCACTAGAGCAGGGACACGCGAGCCTGGACCTTCGGTCAGTGGCTTCTGGATGCACGTGGGGACGTTCTGACGTTCTCTGTGTGGTGGCTGCAGCGGGAACGTTCATTATTGAGCCTGTTTTAACTTGGGGCTGGAAGGGAATGTGCACCCCTAGTGAGTGCCGGGTGCAGAGGTGCGCCTTACCCCGACCTTGACCTTGACCGGGCGCCTTGGGCCCCAGGGCAGGGACGGGGCACTTAGTGTGGGGTGTGACACGGCCTACGAGGTGGTCCCTGCTCACACGCGGGGGGCTCTGTGACAAGCAGTAACACATCTGTTGCAGAATCAGATACGTGGCCTGTCAGGTCACACCCAGATAGGAATTTCTATTTTTGAGATAAGGGACAGTCTGCAGGTCACACCGTAGGTTTTACTGCACATCGTCCTCTTAACCATGGGCCCAGCGGGCGGCAGTCTGTCTCGCTGACCCGACACGTGATTTCCCGGTGTTCACGGGAGTGCCGGGGAGTGCGGCCGGGCCCCACCCCTGCTCGGCTCTGTAAGGAAACCGGCTTCCTTCTCAGAAGGGAACCTGTCAGGCTTGGGGCTCAGTACGAGGACTTGGACCGGAGGGGACCGGGGAGGGACAGGTGTCGGACCGGAGTAGTGTTGGCAGGCGTGTAGAGCGAGGCGCAGCTCTCCCCGTGGAGATGTCTGTGGGGGGGGGGGTGGTCAGTGGACACGGCAGGCGCTGTGGCCACGGGGTTTCCGTGAGATCTGGAGAAGGAAGAGAGCGGATCTCTTTGCAAACAAAATATTTTTATTCGCTTGTATTTATTAAATGGAAACAGAACCTCATGTTGTCCTTACTCTGTGGTGTTTAATTACTATGTTAAAAATAAAGTTCTATATTTTCCCTGTTCTGCACTGTATCTTTCCTTGTGGCTTGTGTGAGGCCTACAGCATGTGCTGTGAGTCGAGACACCGAAGCCGGTGGTGCCAGGCCTCAGCGCGGCGTGTTCCCGCAGCAGGAGCCTTCGGAGCGGAGCGCCCCTTTATCCTGGGGTCCCGAGCGCTTCTCTCCTCCACCTGCTGTGTTCTCTCTCGCGGGAGTTCTGGGTCCCCTGAGGGGCCCAGATGGGGGGGGGGCGTGAGGCACTGGGGGATGTGTGGGATGTGCAGGGGCATGTGGGGTGAGTGGGGGTGCACCGGGCGTACATGGAAGGTACACGGGGAACGAAGGGCGTGTGGGGTGCACGGGGGAATTGGGGCACATGGGTGTGCGGAGGCACGTGGCGGGGGCATGGGGGAATTGGGGCACATGGGGTGTGGGGGGGGTGTGGGGGTGCACGCGGTTGGGGCACATGGGTGTGCGGGGCACGCTGTCCGCAGCCTGTGTCGAGCGTGGCACCTCCTGCGGCTGGGCGGTGCGGAGAAGCCGGGAGGGACGTTGAGACCACACGAGCTCTGCGCACATCAGAAGGGAGGCCCCTCCGGCCCGACCCCGGAGTGCCCGTTGCTGTCCAGCTGGCCCCTGCATCTGGTTACTACCCGGTGAGTGGAGGGCACGGAGGACCGTTGGGGGGCCGGCCCTCGGCTGGCTGCCGCTCTAGGTGCTGTCCTACCTGCTGCCGCCCCGGCCGCCAGCGACCCCACCCTGCCGTGGAGTCCCACCCGCCCTCCTCTAGGCGAGGGGGCCCACATCGGCCGCCCGCGGCACCCCCGTGGAGCCCAGCCAGCCTCGTCTCGGGGGCCACAGGTGCCTGCCAGGCCCTCGCCTCCACCTTGTCCCCGCCAGCACCCCCCGCCCCGCGCCTCGGGGTTTGTGTGTCCCTCTCCCTCTGGCTCCCGCTCGCTCCTCCTGCTTCCAAGGGTGCTGGGTGCCCCGCCCGGGCCTCCTCCGAACCGGGAGATACTGATGCTTGGGTTGGGGTGGGGGCAGGGTCAGCACTGGGCCTCCGTGGCAGGTGGCCATGCTGGACGTGGGTCGCGTGGGGCAGGGCTCTTGTGCCCTCACTTTCCCTTTTGACCCGAGTGTGTGCCTTCTCACCGGGACACTCCAGGTGACCGGGGCCGGCATTAAACACAAAGGGCGTGAGATGCACAGGTTCCCGACGAGCGGGGTCTCGAGGCAGTCAGGGGGCCTTTCTGCAGTTCTGGCTTCGCCCCTGGAGTCGCAGGGCAGCGCGTCCCACCCAGAAGGGGGCTCGGCGCTTGCGGGAGGCTGGGCTGCAGGCTGGCGAGGGCGGGGTCATAGTTGGAGGGAGGTGGTGGGGCCCAGCTGTCACAAGGGGCTGCTGCTGTCGCGACCCCCGCCCTGCGAGCCGGCTGTGGGAGGTGCCGAGCCCCTGCATCGAGCCGGCCCCTCCCCAGGGAGGTGGTGGGTGCACAGCTGTGGGTCCAGCCCGCCTGGTCCAGGCCGGGAGCAGGGCCCCTGGCCTCGGGATGGGCCCTGCTGGGTGTGGGGCATGGACTCGAGGCTGCCAAGCCCTGCGGGGTGACAGTACAGGCTCGCCCGCACGGGGCACTGGGGAGGGTCTCCCACGGTGCAGGGGCGTGTGCTCCGGACCTGCCCCTCCGCCCCCCCCCACGCTGACTGTGGGCGTGAGCACGTGGATGGCAGCGACCCCGCGTGCCCGCCCCGGTCCCCAGACTCCCGTTTGCTCCAGGCGGGCAGCGGGGACAGGGTCCTTTCACGGCGCGCATGGGCACGGGTTCACCTTTCTGGCAGCGCCCGCGCCGTTGGCACCCAGTCAACTGGAAAGGAGACCAAGGGGCCGTGCGCTAGCGGCTCGGCTCTCTGAGACCCCGCGAATGCGTGCCACGAGCTGGAGCCACACGACACGGCTGCCGCTCCAGGACAGGGCCACTCGGGGATTCTCTCTTGGGCCAGTCCCCTCCCCCCGGAGCCGGGCACTCCTCCCCAAGCCTGCATGCCCCCGTCCTCATCAGGACCTGTGTGCTTGCACACGTGTGCACAAGCGCGTGTCACACACGCTCACCAGCACAATGCTTACAAACGCGCTCACGCACTGCTCCCCCACAGCAAGGAGCCCCTGTGGCTCTGGGGGCTGAGGGACCCCGGGTGCCTGCGCCTCCCCTCCCAGCCGGAAGGGTGGTAGAGACGGCGCCCGCCCATCTGGGGCCCCGGGGCCGCCCCGGGAGCAGGGTGCTCCCCTCCCGCCCCGTGGTGGCAGCTGGGTCAGGCGGGGCTGGGTCCCCACCGACGTGTGCCCCCAGCGTGTTCCTCGTCTCGAGCCGGGTGCAGATGCGAGGGCCGGGGCCGTGTTCCCGGCCACCCCACCTGTGACGGGGTCCTCGCCACCTGTCTGCGCCTGCCCGCACCCGCCCTCCCGAGGCTTCCGGGGACAGCCTGGCAGACGCAACCCCCTTCGCTGTGGACGCTGGACGGGGCCTGCGGACGTGCCCGTTGTCCCGGGGCGGGTGTGTGCAGTGGGTTCCGGCGGGCAGAGGCTGGGGCGCGGCTCACCCACCTCGGGGGCAAGGCCCCCCCACCGCTGCAGAGCACACGGAGCTGGCCAGGGAGGGCGGTGGGCCAGCGGACAGGCGGCGACACGGGGCGGGGCCACGTGCGCACACTCGTGCACTCTCACACGTGCACACTCGCACCCTCCCGCGGCCACACACGGCGCATCTGCACACCCGCCCTGCACACACCCTCACATGTGCACACTCATTGTTCTGGCTTTCTTGCCTTCTTTTGGATTGTCTGAATAGTTTTTCGTATTCCATTTATTTTATTTGCTTTTTAACTCTTAATTTATTTGTGTTAGTAAATAAATAAGTTGTACTGTCTTGTGTGTCACGTTCATCGCGTACTGACTGCCGAGGCGTCAGAGTCGTTTCTCACAGTCCACTTAGGAGCCTCTATTTTACCAGCATAAGTGAAACCCTGGCACCCGTGTAGCCACGCTGGGCGCTTGCCGCCCTTGGGATCTGTCACATCTGACCCCCAGGCCACCCCAGGGTGCTCTGGCTTCCCTTTCAGTGGTTACTGTAAAGAATCTGAGGGAGGAAGGAGCATATTACACTTATTATTTGTGATTTGTTTTCTTCACGTGCATCAGAAAGTCACTACTACAGTGGGGTCCACATGCTGGGGTGCCCGTGCTGGGGTGCCTGTGCTGGGGTCGTCGTGCTGGGGTCCATGTGCTGCAGTCCCTGTGCCTTGGTGCCCGTGCTGGGGTCCCTGTGCTGGGGTCCCCGTGCTGGGGTCCCCGTGCTAGGGTCATCGTGCTGGGGTCCCCGTGCTAGGGTCGTCGTGCTGAGGTGCCCATGCTGGGGTCCCCGTGCTGGGGTCGTCGTGCTGG